CAATAATCCTGTAGCTCACTTGCAGACCGCTCGCCTGGGGGCCACGGAACAAAGGTGGGTAGCCCAACTGGCTGCCTTTGACTACCAGGTGAAGTACCGTTCGGGTAAGGAAAATGCTAATGCAGACGCCCTTTCCAGAGTACCTGTTGAAACCCCTTTGGGCACTGATGTGATTAACGTGGTGGCTGTGGCGGATGCACAATCGACAGAAGGCCAGTCGATGGACGGCTGGCGAGCCAAGCAGCTTGAGGACAAAGACTTGGACCAAGTGCGGGGGTATGTGGAAAGTGGGAAGTTTCCAGTGGGACAAGAGTGGCGAGCTGCTTCGCTCGGGGTGAAACGGCTGTTGCAACAGAGGGCAAGGCTGGTGATGTGGGATGGGGTTCTGTGTCGTCGGGTTACTGACTATAATACTCATGAAGCTCGCCTCCAGATTGTCTGCCCTATTCAACAGCGCGAAGAGGTGTGGGAGAAACATCATGATGCTGTTGGACACTTGGGAGTGGAGAGAACCATAAGTTGTCTACGTCGACACTTCTTCTGGCCAGGTATGCAGACTCAGGTCCAACAATTTCACTCCCTGTGTCCCCGTTGTCAGATGAAAAAAATTGATGCTGTGCCTAAAGCGCCCCTGAAGCCCTTTACTGTGTCCTTTCCCCTTGAGGTCATCGAGCTAGATTTCCTTTCCCTAGGAAGGCCCCAGGACCCATATCAAAATATTCTAGTGATGACGGATATGTTCAGCCGCTATGCTTGGGCTATCCCCACAAGAGATCAGACAGCAAGGACTACTGCTAGGGTCCTGTGGCAATCAGTTATACAGACCTTTGGGTGTCCGATGAGGTTTCATTCGGACCAAGGCCCAAATTTTGAATCCCAGCTGGTGGCTGAACTATGTAGCCTTTATGGCATCTCGAAGAGTAGGACAACTCCGTACCACCCTCAGGGAAACGGCATGTGTGAACGACTTAACCAGACCCTCCTGAGCATGTTGCGGACTTTAGAGGATGAAAAGCAAAGTCGCTGGCCTGAACATCTCCCTGCTCTTGTTCAAGCTTACAATGCTACCTTACACAGCTCAACAGGGTATGCACCTTCGTATTTTATGTTTGGGGGCCATGTCAGATTGCCTGTGGATGTAGCCCTGGGTGTAGAGAACCAACACACTCGATATAGCTGGGACAGTTGGGTGGGTGAACACCATCGACATCTGTTGTATGCCTACTCTCTAGCGGCTAAGTCTATGGGCCAGGCGGCAGAGCAGTATAAGAAGCAATATGATCGCAAGGCCAAGTCACTTCCTTTAGTTCCTGGGGAACGTGTGTGGCGGAGGAATAGGCGAGATGGGGGAAGGGGTAAGCTTTGCGGTAAATGGGATCCAGAGCCTTATGTAGTAGTGGAACAGTTGAATAAAGAGGGGTTGACCTATCGTGTTAAATCTGAGCGTACAGGGAAAGAGAGGGTTCTGCATAGAAATTCTCTTAAACCTTGCATCAATCCGCCCCAAGGTGCCCTCGCATTGCATCCTGAGTTGCCAGTACCTCCTGTTTGTGCATCACAACCTCTGATGTATATACCATGGGTGGACCCTGTCGGTCTAGATGACCCAGGTAATGAGGTGGCCCCTAGGAGGTCTGTCCGTTCCAATATGGGACAGCCCCCTGTAAGATATAGAGACACTTAGATATGTGGATACCTATGGTTGTCAGGGACTGCCAACGTTAAAGAGTGGGGGGATGTCATATGAAGAGACTATGGTTTATTTTATGTGTGTTTTTGTGTGTGTATTTGACACTGTTTTCCTTTTTTCTTTTGATTTGGTGTGATTTTCTTTTATTATTCACGCTTTATTTTTGTGACACTTGATCATGATTTAGAGTGTGGGGTAACGCCCCTGTAGTTTTCGGAAGCCCGGATCACAGCTGATTAGTAGATGGACAGCTGTTGGTAATTCCCATGTTAAACCACAGACGGTTCAAGAAGGCGAAGAAACGGACAACAGTGTGCCTGTGACCCGTGAACTCTGTTGTGTAGCTCGTTCTCCACATTTTATTGCTGGACGGTAGTCTCGATTGTTTTTTTTTATTTCCTTGCCCCAACCGTTGCATGGACCATTGTCTGCCCGCGTTGAAATGTTGAAGTGTTGAAGGACGGTTTTGCGTTCTCTGCTGTGCTGGGATTGCTGCTGTTTTCTGCTGTGCTGGACTTCTGCTGTTCTCTGCCGTGCTGGACTTCTGCTGTTTTCTGCTGTGCTGGACTTCTGCTGTTCTCTGCTGTGCTGGACTTCTGCTGTGCTGGATTTCTGCCGTTCTCTGCTCTGCTGGGATTGCTGCCATTCTCAGCTGCGCGGGATTGCTGCCGTTCTCTGCTGTGCTACGGATCGCTGCTGTTCCCCGCTGTGCTGCCCGGAGCCCTGCTTTGTCTGTTCTGGTGTTGTGGAGCATTGTCCAACAAGACTGGGAGTTAGATTCGTCTACTCCCAGTTTATTGGTGAGTGACGCCTTGTTAAATTGTGTGCCTTGCCTCGTCCGGAATTAAGATCCACGTCTCACCTAAATTGAGTTCCAGTCTGTCTACTGTAGTCTTACCACTATCTATATTGTCTATGCATATTCACAAATTGCAGTGATCTAATTGAGTGTTGCACGATTAATAGTCATTCTATCGTGGTGTTGTGTTTATGCTGTGTTTATCTACTGTGGAGATACTGGCGGCTCTTTTTCTGTTTGTGTGAGTGTTGCGTTGATGTGCACGAGTGAGTGACAGGTGGACCGCTGTGTAGACGCCGCTGTTCGGCGCGAGACGGACTTGGTTAGAGGAACCGCTTACGGACTGTGGGTGCCTCCGGACTTCCAGTGGATTTGCAAATGTATTTTTCCGATGTCCAGCTTTTTAAAGTTTGATTGAGTGCGCGAGTGCACAGCGTGCCCTTCCTTTTATCATTGAGATCAGATTGTAATAAATATATTTTTATATTTAAACTGTTGTTTGGGTAATTCTGTTGTGTTGCTCCCACCAAACTAAAAGAACTTGCAAGCTAAAGTTATTTGTTTTAATAGAGTCCCAGCTCTTCAATTGGGTGGCGTAGTCGGGCTACATTACTGTTTCACACTCACGTCTTTTGCGCGCTCAAGTTCGATTTCAAATGTAGGCTCGCGGTGTGCGCGCTCATGATGGAAGCAACGCGGTCGCGGTGCGACGCGCTCTTTTTTTTCCAAGTGCGTCCACGCCGCATCGAGATAAAAACATATAGTGTATAAAAACCGAAACAAGTAGCGTTCTAACTGAATGAATACAGCTAAACTACCTATATCCCTTACTGAGCACAAAGCAGCAGCGCAGCCAGCCACAGGTGCGAACCGAGTGTTCTATGTGTGTGCGCTAAACTGTGGCTCTGTTAAAAAATAGCCTAAATTAAAGCATTTAAAGTTGGGGATAAACCATAGGCTAATTATATTTAGAATACAGTAATATATAACTGCTTATAAAAGGAACAAAAATCAAGGAGTAAATCATTGAAAATTTCTTTCTATTGGTAAAAAAAAAAAAAAAAAAAAAAAAATAATGCAACTGGTCGACCAATAAGAATGTCAGTCGACCAAGACGGCATCGACCGATTAGTCGACTAAACGACTAAAGTTGACAGCCCTATTCTTTATGTTATTCTGTATGACGCAAATATTTTAAAAACGTGAAAATTATTTCTCCAAATATGCGCACCATTGGACTAAGAGCCCTGACGGATGCTGTATATTGTATGTGAACACAAATAAACCTGAAGAAATGTGATTGACTGCATTATGAGTGATGACTGCATTATGAGTGATGATTCCTATTCAAAATATCAAACGTTACAAATTAATAATTTTGCTCTCCTGGTATAAATTAAAAAATGAATGTCACTGCAAACCAGATTTACCATAAACAGGGGTCAATTATCAAAGCTGGAGTCTTAAATCTTTCTAATGAAGCTCAGTTTGTCTAGATCAATTAAGTGTGTGATGTTTTATGTTGAACAACAATACTCTGGGGCTGTCTGCAATCTTTGCCGCAAAAAGGGTTTAAGAAAAATAGAAGGGAAACATATTTTCAAATAGTGTAGAAAAGTTTATTGACAACACACTTTATAGAACAGACATAGTCAATTATTCAAGTAACGCATCAGACCCACACGGACAAACCTGCCCTGCTCCTCTAGAGGCTCTTCCAGTGCCACCACAGGCTCTGCTGCTAAAGGTGAATCCCATGCACTCTCATAGGCCTCTCCATGACTCTCACAAAGGTTATGTAGAGCACAGCATGTCAGCACCATAGATTTCACAAGGTCGACCGCTCAGTCATTTCTCTTCATGAGGCAACGCCATCTTCCTTTTAATCGTCCAAAAGCATTTTCAACCACTACACGTGCTGTGGAAATGTTCATGTTGTAAACCCGCTGTTCCGCTGTCAGCCGTCCAGTGTCAATGAATAGTTTTAAGAGCCAGTTCTGCAAGGGATATGCAGAGTCTCCTAGGATGTAGTAGCCAAAATTCACCCCACCAATGTTTTTAGTGTTAGCTGGTATGTGGTTTCCACGGCTTGCCAACTTCCACAGTGTGGACAGTCTCAAAACCCGAGCATCATGCAGGCTTCTAGGAAGTCCTGTGAAAACATTCCAGAAAAGTCCCTTTCCATCCACAACACCTTGAAGGATTATGGAGTGCCAGCCTTTATGGTTGAAATAGTCACAGTGATAATCCTGTGGTGCTATTATGGGTATGTGTGATCCATCAATAGCACCAATACACTGTGGAAGACCCTACCTGTTCTCAACGTAGGCAGCCATTTCTTTAGGCGCAACTATAACGATTAGTAAATCCCACCCACTTTGAAGCGGTACTAATTGCAGTGGAAAAGCGAACCGAGCCATGCCGTGCTGAGCCGAGTCGTACCACGCAGTGGAAAAGTGAAGCGAGCCGAACTGTACTGAGCCGTACCAGCAGTGGAAAAGCGCCAATAGTGGCTACTATTGGTCTACAATTATCCAGGACATGAAAGAATGGGTAATTTTATATACTTAATGGGTATCTTATAATTATACTTAAGAATGTGTCTACTTTTGCCACCTTTGATTGCTAGATACCTCCTTGATTTAGAAGTTATATTTACAGTAGTCAATATTTGAAGTGGATCAAAAAAGTTAATCAAAGTTGTCCTAAGACAAGAACGGGTATTGTTCAAAAACATATAACTTTGATGAAAAGTTTTGATCCACTTCAAATGTTTTCTGTACTCTATTATCATCACAAACTTGTATCAACTGCAGTAGCATTATTAACATCAAGTGACATGGCATCTGACGCACAGAAGCCAATGGCACATGTTGCTATGCTTAGTGGCACATCCGGTGGATGTTGGCATGTGTCAGTGACATTGTCGCAAAACACTGCAGAACATATCGGATATAACGTACCCCAACAAATGATTTTGAAGAATGTATTATTATTATTTTTCCACTTTTTTTGGATGGACTTAACATACTAAAGCCACAGATGCCATGTCACTTAATCTTAATACTGCCTCTCATCAACTGGCTATTTTTCTAGACATTCTGTTCAAAAAATGTGTTGGTTTTTAGGTCAGATCTTGTCACCGCTGCCAGTTGAATGACCCAATCAAGACTGTTGTGCCAGTCTTGCATTCCATTAAGGTACTGCTTACAATGTTTTAGCATACTGATGAGACTATCAAGCTAGTCTCAAGCTTGTGTACAGTTTTACCAGCATTTGACTAATGCTAATTTTGTGCCGTGCAGGTAAAAGAAGCTTGGGAGGTTCTTGGTTTAGATTTGATTGGACCACTGCCAGAAACGGCAAGCAACGACAAGTATGTCCTTACCATGACAGACCTGTACAATAAGTGGGTGATTGCAGAACCCCTGCAATCTAAGACAGCAGCTGAGGTGTCTGCAATAATGACCACAAAGTTGTACTTGTTCGGCATGGTCAGGAAAATCATTACAGACCAAGGGAAGTAGTTTGTCTACAAGGTGAAGTTTTGTAAAGGTTTAATTGTTTTCCCCCCTACTCTAGTCACTCTCAACATATATGTTGTTGTCTACAATTACTCCAGTCTTGCAAATTTAACTGATGATCCCTCTGCAGCTCAACAGCAGCATTTTCAGTACGCTGAACATCAAACATGCTGTCTCCAGTGCTTACCATCCCCAGGCCAACGGACAGGTAACTCTTATACAGGATATCTGTCCTGGAAGATCTATTGTTGTCTTACGGTTATTCACAACATAGGCTCATTGGAAAAACGTTCCTGTGGCAACATTTTTGTAAAATACTCACCAAAACGTGCATGTCATTATTCATCAACTTTATAAATGCATTGATATACAGGATGAAAGAACCAATCAGAATAATCAAGCATGCTCTCAGGAAGTATGTTAATGACAACCACAATGACTGGGACCTCCACCTTCCTGCTGTGGTGTACGGTATCAACACTGCAAAGCAGGTCTTAACACGTTTACTTATTATTTTTATAATATCTATGGTTAGATGTGGATGGGAAAACTGAATTGATTAATTTATTTAATATTTAATGTTACGGGTGGAGTTTTTTCATTTAATACAAATTTGATAGTTAATGGGAAGCTTCCTATGTGATCAGTACTCCACTAGACACAGTCCATACTTTCTACTCTTCAATCGACACCCCTGCTGCCAGAGGTCATGAATGCCTGTCCCATGGGAGATGATTTTGAAGTTGCTGACCCAGAAGATGACATCAACACCAGAGTCAATAAGATAAAAGTTCTCAATTAAACGGTTTGTTTTTGAATAATAAAGGTAAAATATAGCTGCGAGCAGCGATTACGGGCCCAAGCCGGTGGCACCGCAACCCCGGTGCCTTTAGTTACCTAAAGGCACCGGAGTGGCGGTGCCGCCGGCTTTGGCCCTTCATCGCTGCTCGCAGCTATATTCATATATATATATATATATATATATATATATATATATATATATATATATATAAACAAGCCGGTGGCACCGCCACCCCGGTGCCTTTATATATATATATATATGTCTACATTGTTCAATCACGCCTCACACACACACACACACTTTTGCAGAGCCCACACCAATGCAAGCTCTATAGCACACATCTTCTCAAAGGTCAAAGCGGAGTTACGATATTGCCCGTCATGCACAGTAACCCTAAAGGCACCGGGGTGGCGGTGCCACCGGCTTGTTTATATATATATATCGTATTATTCTAACTTGTAAAAAACTATTAACTTTTGTTAATATTCAACCATTTCACAACTAACTTTTTTCCATAGATCAAACACAACATAATTATATGGTGGACTGAAACAAAAATTATTAATTAAATAAAATTATTGTTTTCCTCTGAAATAGCAAAAGCATCACACACTAGGCAAGGCAAGGCAAGGCAAGGCAAGGCAAGTTTATTTATATAGCACATTTCATACACAATGGCAATTCAAAGTGCTTTACATAAAAAAAATCAAAAGAAATAGGAATAATTAAAACAGTTAAGAATAAAGAGATTAAAATAATCAAAAGAAATAAGAATAATTAAAGCAGTTTAGAATAAAAATTAAATAAAATACAGTACAAACAGTCGGACACAGTGGCACAGTGCTCATTCAGTAAATGCATAGCTAAACAGAAGTGTCTTGAGTCTGGATTTGAATGTGACTACTGTAGGAGCACATCTGATCTCCTCTGGAAGCTGGTTCCAGCTGCGGCTGGCATAGTAGCTAAAAGCAGACTCACCATGCTTAGAGTGAACCCTTGGTATTTCTAGCTGATGTGATCCTAATGATCTGAGTGATCTGTTGGGTTTATATTCAGTGAGCATATCTGCAATGTATTTAGGTCCTAGGCCATTAAATGATTTATATACCAGTAATAATACTTTAAAATCAATCCTAAATGTAACTGGGAGCCAGTGTAAAGACCTGAGGACTGGTGTGATGTGTTCATATTTTCTGGTTCTGCTCAGAATCCTGGCAGCAGCGTTCTGTATGAGCTGCAACTGTCTTATGGTCTTTTTAGGAAGGCCAGTGAGGAGTCCATTACAATAATCCACCCTGCTAGTGATGAAAGCATGCACAAGTTTCTCTAAGTCTTGACTGGAAACAAAGCATCTAATTCTTGCAATATTTTTCAGATGATAGTATGCTGATTTAGTTATTGATTTGATATGACTACTGAAACTAAGGTCTGACTCTAGAGACACACCCAGATTCCTCACTTGATTTTTAGTTGTTAGACCCCTAGCGTCAAGGTATGCATTCACCTTGAGAACTTCATCTTTGTTGCCAAACGCAATGACTTCAGTTTTGTCTTTGTTTAACTGAAGAAAGTTTTGGCACATCCAATTGTTTACTTCCTCAATGCATTGGCACAGGGAGTCAATGGGGCTGTAGTCGTTAGGCGATAGGGCTAAGTAGAGCTGTATGTCGTCTGCATAGCTGTGGTAAGAGATTCGGTTCTTTCTCATTATTTGGCTCATTGGGAGCATGTACAGGTTGAATAGGAGTGGCGCAAGAATTGAGCCTTGAGGGACTCCGCATGTCATGGATGTCCACTCAGACTTATGGTCTCCTATACTCACATAATAACCTCTCCCTTCTAAGTATGACCTGAACCATTTTAGGACTATCCCAGAAAGCCCCACCCAGTTTTCCAGCCTGTCAAGAAGTATGTCGTGATCGACAGTGTCAAATGCAGCACTGAGGTCGAGTAGTACCAGCACTGATAATTTGCCGTTATCAGTGTTTAAGCGAATATCATTTATTATCTTTATGAGCGCTGTCTCTGTGCTGTGATGCGATCTGAAACCAGATTGAAAATTGTCAAAGTATCCATTCGAGATTAAGAATTTGTTCAGCTGATTGAAGACAACTTTTTCAATGATCTTGCCTATGAAAGGAAGATTTGAGATCGGTCTATAGTTGCTTAATATGGTCTTATCCAGATTGCTCTTTTTCAGGAGGGGCTTGACAACTGCAGTTTTCAAGGAGTTTGGAAAATTCCCAGAGATAAGTGAGGCATTTACCACTTCTAGGAGATCAGCTTCTAAACAGTTTAACACACTTTTGAAGAAAGATGTGGGAAGTGCGTCAAGGGCGCAGGTTGATGTTTTAAGGTGCTGTACGGTTTCTTCTAAAATTTTGCCATCAATTTCATCAAAATCAGACATAGTAGCTGCTTTCTCAGGTTGTGGTCTGATCTGTCTGACCCCAGTGCAGCTCAATGATGTGCTGATCACCTTTCTGATATTATTGATTTTCTCAGAGAAGAACGAAGCAAACTCCCTGCACTTTCTGTCTGAGAGCAATTCATTGGGAATCTGGCTTGGGGGGTTTGTCAGTCTCTCTACAGTAGCAAAAAGAGTGCGTGTGTTGTTTAAGTTGCTGTTTATAATATTTGAGAAGAAAGTCTGTCTAGCTTTGCCTAGTTCCATATTGAAAGCATGGATGGTGTCTTTGTAGATGTTATAATGGACTACAAGTTTGGTCTTCCGCCACATGCGCTCTGTTTTTCTGCATTGTCTTTTCATATTTTGCACAGCTGTTAAGTTTCTCCAAGGTGCTTTTTGTCTACCACTCTTCCTGACTTTCACAGGAGCAATATCATCAATTACACTTTTAACTTTTGAGTTAAAAGAATCAAGGAGAAAATCAACAGAGTCAGCAGATATGCTTGGTGTTGAAGATATAGCCTTCATAAATAGTACACTAGTGTTCTCATTTATGCATCTCTTCTTGACAGACACAGATCTAGCTTCAATGGCAGGAGAGATCAATATATCAAAGAAAATACAGAAATGATCAGACAGTGCTACATCCTTAATAACAATCGATGAAATGTTTAGACCCTTACTGATAAGTAAATCTAGAGTGTGTCCACGACTGTGTGTGGGTCCGTGTACATGCTGAATCAGATCAAAAGTTTTTAAAACAGTTTTGATTTCTTTTGCCATATTGGTTTCTGTATTATCTATGTGGATGTTAAAATCTCCAGCAATCGCAAAACAGTCAAACTCTGAGGAAATGGTTGATAACAGTTCTGTAAAGTCCTCATCAAAGGCTGAAGAGTATTTTGGAGGCCTGTAAAGAATAATAAGTAAAATGCGTGGAACGCCTTTTAACACAATACCCAGATATTCGAAAGACGGGTAATTACCAAATGATATTTGCTTACAGTGATAGACATCCTTAAAAAGAGCAGCTACTCCTCCACCTCTCCTTACAGCTCTGCAGACACTCATAAAAGTAAAGTTAGGAGGAGATGTTTCATTGAGGACTGTTGCACTGAAGCTGTCTTCTAGCCAGGTTTCATTTAGAAACATAAAATCCAGGTTGTATGTGGTTATTAAATCGTTGACTAGAAGTGATTTATTTTTAAGTGAGCGGATGTTTAATAGTGCTAACTTAACAGTCTTACTTTTTGTCCCCACAGTAATCTTAGTTTGTCGTGTAATAGGCACCAGATTAGATGGGTTTGCTGTACGGCTTTTGAAGGTCTTAGACTTTCTATCATGTAATCGAACAGCAATAGAGAAAGATACAGGCACACTGGGTTCCCGCTTGTTATGTAAACATTTAAGAAAGTTACTGTTGTCATAGCGGAGACCCGACACATATCACTGAGAGCTGGTATCAGTTCTTTTTGGTTGACCTCGAACTGCTGAAGTTTCATCAAGATCAGTTAATGTATGCAGAAGTTATAACACACTTCCTGTTTCCTTTATTCGCCATAAATTCGTTTCCTCGCCACGGCCAAACCGTTCGAGATATCAAAAATCCCCTGGCAACTTTTCATCCTCAATGTCTTGACTTCATGCTGACC